TGCAGTGACTCTCACCCCCCCTCACTGACCCTACCTGATTGGCGATGACTGTATCATAGTTGTAAAGGCCAGGGTTCAGCTGCCAGCGGCAGAACTCTCCCCGCCAGCCGCGGGTGATGGTGCCTCCCCCGATCCCGCCCAGCGGGCACCCTGGCAAAGACACCAATAGTTAGCACCCCCATTCCTCCCCCAGGTGGTACCTGGCTAAAGAACTCTCCCCATGCATCTCTGCAGGGGAGAGCCACTCAGTATCCCCCAAATCAGAAAAGCTCCTTGACTCACTCATTCCATGGAGCACCCCGATATCCCCATGTGAATCCCTGCCCACCCCAGTGCCCAGTGTGGAGGCTGACCATAGATCTGCTGCAGAGGAACTGCACACAAGAGGTCAATGAAGGCTGTTTTCTTCTCTATGCAGGTCTTCTTGACCCACCACCTGAAGTATCTGCAAGGGAAAGAGAAATATTGAAGAAGTCAGGAACAGGCAACACCGTCCCTCCAGTGTCACTGGGCAGGATGAGCATAGGTTGAGCTTTCCCTCCTTGTAGAGATGTACAACAGGAACATATGTCCCCGTGCCCATGGCACAAGGGGTGACAAGGCTCTACCACCCATCTGGAGCATGCATCACTCAGCAAACACAAGCAGGCTAAGTTCAGGCAGCTAAGGACTGACAGCAAGGGCAACTCAGGAGCAGGACTCCCAGCTCATGTAGCACAGGCTTTCCCAGACACTCATGGAGAAGTGGGAATGCACACAAGGGCCACCACCACCTCTGTGCCTGGTACACAGTGTCCTGCTAAGGCAGACCTGCAAGCAGAGGTGCAAACCCAGAGGAGACACACACTGCTCCAGAGACACAAGCCTTGCTGTTCTACCTGCACTTCCCCATTGCCATACATTACCACATCCCTGTGCCACATCATCGGGAGCAGAGGGCACAGGGCAGCCTTACCCTGGAAGTGGTGATGGTTGCTGTCTGCAGCTGGCAGGATCCTGGGGACTTGCCTCCACCTGCACACCAGCTGCGCAGACCAGCACGGCCCATCAGACAATTTCTCACCCAAAGGTCTGGGAATCAAGACACCCAAACAGGGGCACACCTGCAACAGGGTATGCCAGCACCACTCCAGGCAAGAGGAGCAGGGATGGGCTGTGAGTCAATGCTTGTAAAGTACTGGCTTTGGCTAATTAACTGCCCCAAGTTAAGCCTTCTATGCAGAGACAATTAGCACACGGAAACCAGCTACCAGACCAGAAGCTGCTGAACCTTGCCCAGCAAACAGTCAGGTAAGGCCCAGCTGGCAGCTCCATGGCCCTGGGTGCCAGGTGGACAGGGGGGACACAGGAGCACCCACAGTGAGCAATGTCCCTGAGCTACCTCCAGACACCCATGCCATATTGCTGAGCAGAAAACCAGGAGCACAAAGCCTGTCCTGCCCCTGGTTGCACAGGATGCAGAGCACAGGTGATGGGCAATGAGCAATAATCCCCTGGGACATGTACACCCAGGAGCAAGGGGGAGAGGCTCTTCTATGACACCTCTACTACTATGCTTCCCAAACAGAAACAAGTCACAGTTGACTTTTCGGCTGCTCACTGGGCATTCACCTTTATTCACCAACATCTAAGGTCCCCAAATCCTGGGCATTCACCCTTATTCACCAACATCTAAGGTCCCCAAATCCCTCAGAGGATGAGATTTTCTGGGCTGCAATCCCACAGGACCTAACTGCAGCCTGCTCTCCACTCCTACAGACTCAGCTTTGTGTTTGACTGTCTGTGGATGCTTTGCTCACAGTTCACGGCATGATGAGAACCAGCCTGTCCTGCTTGACTGCCCTGAACCAGGGCCTGCCACTATCTTCCAGCTATATCTGCTACAACTGCTCTTCTCCAGACAGGACAGTCCCAGCCTTACCCTGCCAAGGCAAGGTTTTGGCAGTGCTCTCTCTCTCTCAAGGAAATTATTAATATTCTTTTTCAACCCAGCAGCAGGGAACCAACGCAGCTGCTTCCCCAGCAGGCTTCTGGCATCAGGAAATAAGGTGCTCAGGCAGAATGACTGCAGCACAGCCTAGCGGGGCATCCTGACTTCTTGGAAAGGAGGCAGGAGATGGATTTCAAGAAGCAGTTTTTATAGAGAACACAGTAGAAAAACTTTGAGATTTATTGCCACTGCCAAAGTAATTTTACCATCTCAATATGCAAACTCTTCTCATGCAAGTTTCTCCCAAAATCACGCAAGCCAAGAGAAGAAGCCCAGTGGTCAGTTCCCAATTGCTGGGTATTAACAGCTCTGCCAGGGCTGAAGAATAACAAGGAGAAAGACTTTGTGCTCTGTAGTACCAAAAGCCCTGCCAGGGCTGGAGGGCATTTCTTCCCCTTCAAATTGGCAGTGGAGTTAAAACAACATTACCCAGCTGATCTGGATTCATGCTGTGACCCCTCTCAGGACACATGAGCCACCTCTGCAGAAACCTACCTACACCTCTTCTCCTGCCTTGCCAGCCCCAGCTGAGCCCTCTGCACAGCCCTTTCTTTCCAGATGCACATGTCCCCCATAGTTACCCCGATGAGCCCTGATTAACAAAAAATCTTGCCCCAGGGGCTGTCAACACCCCCAGCCATGTCACCTACACCTACGGCTGTTGCTGCAGAAGAAGGCACCATCATCATGTTTAATTTGAGGCAACAACATCAACTCACAATGTTGTGGCTCCTCTGCTAGTCCTGGACCTCCTGAGCCAAAGATGTGCAGTGACCCCAAGGCGCTCCCAGTGGCTACAAGCACCTGCACCATATGATTTTGCACTACATGCATCAAGATGTGCCAAGTTTTGGGAACATCCCTGGCACAGGGACCACTCACCAGAGGTCACTACGGAACGGGCAGGCCAATCTACAGAGCTTCACAGATCCCTGCACCATGACACAGAACTGAATTCTGGGTTCCTCTCACAGCAACTGCATTCATGTTTCCATGAGTTGGCTGCCCCAGTCACACAGATACCGAGATGCCCACTGACGCCTGGAGCATGCAGCCTCGCATATATTCTCACATACCTGAATGGGCTGCCCTTTGAGCCAATAATGTTGGCCTTGGGTTTTTAATCAAAAGCACACAGATATTTCTTGTGACCCTAGCACTTTGTCTCCTCTGCTCTTGTGACTGGAACCTCCTCGCAAACAAGTTCTTGCCATGGCAAAAGTACTTTGAGACAACAACCAAATTATCTCCTAAACTTGAACAGGAGAAGAGGCAGTATTTTAACTTCAAGCTTGCTTTCAAAGACCTTTTCTGACTGATACAAGGCACTTCCAGACTTCAATGAGAAGGCTAGGATCACCTCTCCTCCCTGCTCACCCCACCAGAACTTCACGCTTTCCAACATGCTCAGCTCATCCCAACCTGCTGCAGCAGCTTTTCCAGCAGCCTTTATTTATCTCAGGTGTGTGACCCATGCTCTCCCTTCCCCAATGCCCAGGCTCGCACTGGGGTGTCTCAGGTCAGACCAGCATGCACCCCGAAGCAATCCAGAACCTGCCCTTTCATCCAGCTTTGCAGGAACCAGCTTGGCAAGCGGCAGCCTCCAAGGACACCAACAGAAAATGGAGGCAGGAGTCATAAATCCAGCACAAGGAAATAAGCAATGCCGTCGCCGGTCCCAGCGCACACACTGCCAGCGCCCGGACTCCAGTGGTAAAGGTTAAAACAACACTCTCGCTTTCCACGCGTGCTCTCCGTCGTTACTTCCAGCTCACCCCAACGCAAAGCCGAGAGAGGTGCCCCGTTCCCAAACCTGCCACAGCGTTCCAAACCCCTCCCAGTTAGCCTTAAGGTTAACCTCCAGCTGCCAGCACTGAGGATTATGCCGGGTAGGATGAGGCAGCGATGAGCCCTAGGGGTGGAAAATGAGGGTCCCCATCCCCAAGCGATGCCCCAAGTCCTCCCCTGTTTTGAGGAGCCCAAGCGCCTGGTGCTGCCACTTCAGCACCAATTGCTCCCAGTGCCGGCGCCAGGAAGGCTGGAGAGTGCCGGCGCCTCCGGGCGGTAGGAGGGCGGCTCCCGCCAGCCCGGGGCCTTCCGCGATCCGCCGGGCTCTGCCGCTCCGTACACCGGGACATCTCCGGAGCGTCCCCGGGGCGAGGCCTCCGCGGAACCGAGTGGCTCCAGCGCAACGCTGTGTCCCCCGCGGGACGCCCTCCCTCGTCCCGGTGCGTTCCCGGCCCCCTCCATCCCCCGCCGTACCTCAAGGCGAGGCCGACGTGCCGCAGGACATCGCGGAGCGGCACGTCCCCGGCGCCGTAGGGCTGCCGCAGCTCCTCGAAGCTGTGCGCCAGGCAGACGCGCCAGCCGTCCGCCGCCACGCCGCGACCCTGCGCTGCCCCCTCATAGCGCCGCATCAGCGGCGACTCCACGGTCTCCGCCGCCGCCGCCATCACCGCCCCCCGCCCCGTGCGCGCCCTCTTCTTCACCGCCCCGCCCCGCCCCGCCCCGCCCGCGCCCCGCCCCGCCCGCGCCCCCGGGGCACGGCGGAAGCACGGACCCGCCCCACCGCCGATTCCCGGGACTGCCCGGCCGAGCGCGGCCGAGCGCCGCCGAGCAGATTCCGAGAGTAGCCGAGCGCTGATCGAGCGCTGCTGAGGGGCGTGCGAGAGTTGCCGAGCGTTGTCCGGGAGCTGCCCGTGAGACGACCGAGCGCGCCCGAGTGTTGCCGAGAGTTCCCGAGCGCTGCCCGAGCCTTGCCGAACTAGGTCCGAGCCTTGCCGAATTAGGTCCGAGCCTTGCCGAACTAGGCCCGAGTCTTGCCGAACTCTGCCCGAGCGCTGCCGATTCCCGCCGAGCGGCTGAGGGGAGCCGGGCCTGCAGTGGTGCCGGACGGCGAGCGCGGCCTGTGCGGGTGGTGAGTGGGCCCGAGGCGGGAGCTGCGGAAAGTTTGCGGCCCTGTGTCCCTGATCCCTCGGGTGGAGCTATCCATGTGCGTGTTTACGTTAGGGACTGCAGGGCTGGGGTGTCAGGGCTGTCCTTCTCACCGTCGCGGTGTTTCCTGACCCCGCTTCCTTACCTGTATGGACCTGGGAGGAAGATGTATGTGTTTGTAAAGACGGGGCTGTGCGTGTTTCCCCCCACACCTCCTGTGTGTGTATCAGTGTTCCTCATTCCCCCTCAATTACGTGGCCCAGCCCTCTCTCCATGTCTCCGTGACAGCAAAACGGGGAATGGCTTTAAACTGAAAAAGGACTACATTTAGATTAAATATTAAGAAGAAATTCTTTACTGTGAGGGTGGTGAGGCACTGGCACAGGCTCCCCAGAGAAACTGTGGTTCCTTTATCCCTGGAAATGTGCCAGGCAGGATGGGGTTCTAAGCAATCTGCTCTGGTGGGAGGTGTCCCTGCCCCATGGCAGGGGAGCTGGAACAAGGTGGTCTTTAAAGGCTCTTCCACCCCAAACCGTTCTGTGATTCCTCGAATCTATGATTCTGTGATTACATGCCCAATGTTGGCTATTTTTGGCAGGTGTGCAGCAGGATTGTCCAAGCCATGATCGAAGTGTTGGCCAAGCTGGGCCGCGGGCCTGTGTTCCTGGCAGGGGAGGTGCTGGAGTGTGTGATCACCTTCACCAACCCATTATCGGCCTCATCGACCTCTGCTAGCAGGTACAGGAGCCTGTGCTAGTCCATGCACAGAGCCTCCAAATGTTGAGCTGCCTGGGTCTCTCCAGAGGAAGTGGCCCACCCTCTCTCCCCTCTCTGGGGTAGTAGTCACAGCTGCATTGTAGGGCAATGGTGCCAGCTCAGCCTCTTGTGACTTCCCTACTCAAGGCACTCCCTTAAGGAAGCCTTGCATCATCTCTCAATTTTGGGGGTGAAGCTGAGGTAGTTATGCTAGTTTTGTGCCTCCAGTAAGTAGGCAAGGAAGGAGGTATGCAGTTAGAGATTCTCTGTCACTCAGGTGAGCCCTCAGTGACAGTGACTAGCAGAAAAGGAAGCCAACCTGACTGCCAAAGTGGGCTATTTGGTCACACCAGAGGGACAATCCCACAGAGCAACATCCAGGCAATGTTATTTTCTCTTGCATTTGTGGAAGGACCTCTCTTTTATCTAGCAGTGCTGGACAGATCAGTATGATCCTTGCCTCCAGAGATGGCAGACAAATGGTCAGGTCTGAAAGGGGCACCTTCTGCGGCCACATTTTCTGTGGCCTAGCCCTTGAGCCCTGCATCTCCCCTTCTCAGTGCTGAGGAAATTGAGAGGATGGGAGCTTCCCATATTGGCTCACAGGGGGTGACTCTATGTCACAAGTAATCACCCAAAGCCTTCGTGTCCGCTGAGTGTGTGGCCTTGTCTGATTCTTTAGGGAGTGGAGAGTGCTTTCTCATCTTGAGTCCTTCCTGGGAAGTGTCTGTTTCCAGCCCTGTCAGGTTCAGCATGTTTTCATCACCAGTATGATGTTCACATGTGATTGTTTTGGTGGGCGCACTCACAGTGCCTGCAGTCTCAGCAGCACAGGGCTTCTGTGTTTATTGCCTTCCTTAACTTTCCATCTTTTCTTCCTGTTTCATTTTGACTGCTGAGATCAGGTTTCAAATTCAGCTGTGGCATAAGCATCCAGCTTCACAGACTTTTGTCCTGTTTGATGACAAGATGCCCTGTGTTTTGTCTGCTTCTGAAACATGTTGGACTGCAAGGGTACCAGGTGGTTTGCGGAGGTTTCAGTGCATTTATGAGAGCTTCATTTAAAACTTCAGATGTGTTGTGATCTGTAGAAGACTGCCTCTTGGAAAAGAAAAGTTTTCAAAATACTAAAAAAGCACCAAGTGATCAATCAGATGAGACCTGGCTAAGTCAAACAAGTGGCAACAGCAAATAAATTGTTGGTTTGGAAAATGAACCTGTGGGTTGTGTAAACGCAGGAGCCAGATCAAAGCACTGTGACTGCAACAGGCAAAGGTGTTGGGGCTGACAGGTGGAGGGACAGAGAGGCCACATAACATGGACAGACTTGAAAGAAAGGCAGGAAATTAATTGGATGGTAGAGTACACAAAACAAATCTCTTTTACCCAGAGGTTGCACAGAGCATGTCCCTTGTAGGCTACAGGATTTGTGGGGGAAGGTGAGACTGGAAGGAAGTGACCTCAGCACCAGTGCAGGATCCTCCACTGCTGAACAAGCACTAGCTGAGCAAGCCAGCTCTGCTGGCAGGAAGGGACATGCAAATTTTGTTGGGACATCTGGCTAGAAAAAATGAAAACAATCCAGTGGCATGTTGTAAGGCTATACTAAAAAAAATAGAAAAAAAACCTCAAAATATGGTGTTTGAAGGTACTGTAATCACTCTAAGCTTATATAAAATTCGCAAACATTGTCTCAAGCAAGAGCAGTTCTCTGCTTCCAAACAGCAGGTACCTTACACCAAAAAAACATATGGCAACCCTGATGGAAAAGCCATGCTGGTACTTTGGAAAATGCAGAATTACAACTGTAGGGCTCAAAGCAACTTGGTATAGTAACTGAGGTGTGTTTGGGTAAGGGCAGCCAGCACATGCAAAAGATCAAATAGCACATTCCTTAGTCAGCTAACATAAATACAGCACACCTTTTTCCCTAGCTCATCTAGACCTTTAACTACGCTGATGTGTCACGTGGAGGGACACGCGTGTGCCACAAAAAATCCCTCTGCCACCTAAAGCTCTGTTATTGGTGCTTACTAATCATATCATCATGTTAGAAAACACCAGAGGAACTATTCACTGGCTAAACTATAAAGACCACTATTGAAATAAAAGTAGAGGAGTGATTTGGAAACTGAAAGGTATCACTGGTACCATGGGAAGTGCCCTATGGAATGGCTGACGTCACAGCAGAGTCCAAAACATGAGACTGTTTTTTGTGCTGGATGTGTGACCCCACATTAATTCCTAGGGCTGTACAGAGAGGGGTCAAAATTACACCTTTGCCTCCCGTATTGCCGTCAGCAAAGTCCTTGCATAAGGAGGAGTAAGTAGGTCCTAATGAAAGACCCAGCAGCATCCTCCTTTGGTTTGGCACAAACAGCAGCTGATGTTCTTGTTGGGGATGGTGCTGTGAGGCCAGAGGGAGCATGTCTGTAGCCACCTGTCCTGAGAAGTGTTGCGTTTGGGGCTTCTCTGTGCTGTGGGCAGGGGTGGCTGAACCCAGGTTGCAGGAATTTGTTGCTTTAGAATTTGCTCACTTCCCTAATGGCTGTGTTGTTACCAGAGTGCTGCTCTGTGTGTCACCTCTGGCTTGGGATTTAACTCCTCATGGCTAAGAGTCTTCTGCTAGGGCCCACATACAGCAGCTCATGCTGTCCTCCCAAGAGTGCAGTGAGTGGCCAGTCCCAATCTGTGGATGATGAGAAAGATGAACAAATGAGTAACTGGATCTTGGAACACTTGATCTCAGCATATTGGCTGAAAGATCCCTGTGAAGTTTTGCACAAGCCTCCTTTCTCTTGCCCTCATGGCAGGGGATAGGAACTGCTGACCTCTGCTGCCTGTTGTCCTCTGTCATGAGTGTACAGCATGTTTCTTGGGGCAGATGTGTTTTCTCTTGCCATGTCAGGGCTGTGCCAATGGTGTTGTGGCTCAGACTGCAATTATTGCTGTTTAAAAAGAGTCCTTAGGCTGCAGAGCCAGGCTTTGGGTAAAGCTGTTGTCAGCAGCTGGGGTGGAAGTGGCTTTGAGTCAGCATCCCAGTTTGAGCTTACTTCCAGGTCTTGCTTGGAGGGGACTGTGAGAACAGCTTCAGTGACAGTGAAGCCACTCTCACAGTCTTGTTCCTTCCAGACAAGAAGTCCTGCATAGATCTGAGCCGACACAGTTTCTCTTCTCCCAGTTCCTGCCTGCTGTAATTCAGGTTTAAAGCAGAGATATGAGTGTTGCTCTTTGCTTTCAGTGAGATGCTGGCATGGGCCAGCGCCCAGATCCATTGCCAGTTTCATGCCAGCGAGAACCGGGTGGCACTCCCTCCCTCTGATGGCAGCAAGCATGATGTGCAGGCAGAGAATGAGACCGTCTTTGTCCCCAACAGAGGTGAGTGCCACTCCTGCCTGTCACCTGGGTAGGGACAGTGAGAGCACAGTGAGCAGGAGTCAAGCAGACCATAATGTGTGTGTCTTGATGCAGTGAGCATAGAAGTGAGTGCAAAGTTTGTGTTGCTTTCCTGGTGATGGATGTTGTGGGACCTTGTTAATACTGAAATCACAGTGACAGTATCTTGGATTGAAGCATGACAGCTGTTTGTCCAGTTGCAGTGGCAATGTCTCAGAATATGACCAGGGCAAGAGATGCTTCCTCCTTAGCTCTCTTCTCTCTGTTCCTCTCCATGGGGATGGCTTGACTGACCTGGACACAGCCTGAGGCTGTGCAGCATTCACATATTTTTTATTCTCTTCCAGGAGAGCGGGGTCAGTGTATCCTGTCCACCCCACCAAAGATCCTCTTCTGTGACTTGCGACTGGATCCTGGGGAGTCGAAGTCCTGTGAGTCCTGTCTTCTCTTCCCCTTCTCACAGAGCTCATACCTGGGGAGCTCTGCTTACAAAACTGGCTTTGCAGACCTGAGTGCTGGAAGTGTACCATCCTGATGCTCACAAAAACTGGGGTGCTTTGGTTGGAGCACGAGTGCTGAGGAGCTGCTGCATCATCCAGAGTCTGTTCTCTGCTGCACTAGGGCTGTGTATTGCAGCATGTCCCTCAGTCCTGCTCCTGGCCTGTGGCCTTTGCTGCAGGTCCACTGTGTAGCTGCATGGCACAAAACTTTTGAAATACCTAGTTGCAGCAGGAGGAATGGCTACACACCTGCATTTCCTTGCCTTTATTTCTTCAGTCATACTGGTGTATTCTTGGAATTTAAGCTGGTGTCCTCCAAAGGTTTATGCCTCTTCTTCAGGTTGTGGCTGTCCTGGAAATAACAGTCTTCTGGATGTTCTAATTTTCCTACTGTGAAAGTGAGCACTCCTCACCTTCTCTCTCAAAGCTCTTCACTGAGTAGATAGCTGTGGAAACAGCTGCGTATGCGCTGTTCTCTCTTGGTTTGTGGCTGTGTGACCCAGCCTGTTCAGATCATGTCAGATCTCCTTTGCATTTCAGCGGCCTGTGATTAGCAGCAGTGATGTTAGGCCTCTCAGGCTGTGCATGGAGAGCTTTATTATTGTCCCAGGGATCTGCTGGGAACAGCTGATGGAGAACTCTTACACTGCAGAGCACAGAGAGTGGAGAGACAGTGCCTATGGTGGGGCAGGCTCTGCTGGATCACTGAGCTCTGCAGAGCTGGAAGTGAAGCTGCAAGTGAGACCAAGCAGCTGTGGGGTTGTGACATGCTGGTTGTGAAGCTGGTGTCTCCTGCCTTTCTGGCTTTTGAGGGGCCTGACTGGAGGGAAAGGTGGACCTGGTGAAACCAGGCTGGCTTGCCTTGGTGGTTAGTGGGGTGGGGCAGTGCCATCTTGGGGCTGTGCTCCTAAACTGCAGAGCCTGCTGTCTAAAGATGTTTAGTTATTCAGTTATTATTCTGCAGCAGTATGCTGGGGGAAGGAGGTGGCCATGACAGGAGGAAGGAGGAGGAGACAGAAATCTTAGCTGGCCTGAGGCTCTCTTGGATTCTCCTGTGTTCCTTGCTACTTGCATGTTTGGGGCTGGAGCATCTATTCCCTGTGAGCAGAGTGAAGTCCCTTTCCCTGGCACACTTTAGGCAGATTGGGCAATTTCTGGGATAAGATTAGTGATGACAGCCCACGTTCCAGATGACTGGATGGATTGAGGGATTGACTGTGCACTGGCTTAACAGGCAGAAGCTGTTCAACCCCCAGCTAAGGTAGGGCTTGTCTACGCTTTCCAGTAACATCATGATGTGTGTGTGTCCTCTCTGCCTCTGGATGGCACTGGCACAAGCAGCATGCATCTGCCTGGTGCTTGGATGCAGCTCCTCTGGAACAATACAAACTCTTCTATTCTTTGAGTTGCTTTGGCTGTATGGTCCAGCCTTTCCCCTTCACTGTGTGATTCACCTGTCTGTTTCATGCATCACATGTGATGTGGCTGCATGTGGCACTGCTTTTTTGGCACTGAAATCCCTGTATCACAGCCCTGGTCTCGTTCCTGCCAGGCTGTTCGTACCAATCCCATCAGCCAGTGGTGCTGCTGCTGTCACGCAAGACTGCAGCTGGCACATTTGCAGATCATTCCTGGGGTCTCCTGCCAGCTCCATGGAGGGAGAGTTAAGGCTGTGTGGGTGTGTATCTTAAATCTTCATTTCCTGTTTTTCAGAAGTTTTGAGTTTTGCTACGCAGTTTGGAAAGGGAAAAAAAAAACAAACCAGAAAACCCAAGAAAATTTAATTCTGCTTCAGCAGTATACCATATTATTAAACTGCAGCCAGAGCTGGCACATACAGCTGAGGTTGTGCCAGACTGTCTCTTGATAAAAGGACTTGTTTTCATTTGCTGACCAGCTTATTCTCCAATACAGTACTCTTGTTATGGTGCCTATATGTTGAAGTTGACTCACCTCCCAGCCCTTTGACACATGGCCCAGGCTGAACTCTTTAAATTTGTCACCACAAAGCTTCTTCTCAAGTCCTCAAATAATTTCTGTGGCTGTTTTGCCTCCACTCTGGTTTTGTAATACCTCTAAAAATTTGGTAGATCACAGAGAGGGGAGGAAATGGAAGCAGCCTGGACATAGGCCGGAAGGCCAGCCAGAGGGCATGGCAGGTGGGTAAGGAAGGTATCTCTAGTGCCAGGAATGTGCTTCCTTCTAGGATATGCAGGGAAGCTGGGACTTCCTGAATCTTGGCATTCCTGAGCCAGGTAGCAAACTGTCCATGCTTCTGTGACTGTGGTGGTCTCTGCTCATATTATCCTCACTGGGCAGGAAGGTCTTTGTGAGCCCTCTTGTTGAGTCTGGCATGGGGGTTACAGAAGTCTGCTTCTTTTCTTGGAAATACCTGATTTTCCTCCCTGTCAGGGTGGTTTTCCGCTTTATCTGCAGCCTAGTCCAGAAAGAGAGGCTTGTGTTTTAAGGTGTGACATCCTGTCACCACTACACACTAGCACAGGCTTTTCTTTTCCTTCCAGTCCTGTTATTTGAAATCCAGAAGTTATATTTAAAATGTAACCCTAACTTTTAATCTAAGCCTCAACGTTCAGTGTGTGCCAGACATGGGGAAGGATCTGTGGTTTCAGAGCAGGATGCTGCCCTTCCTCTGGCAGGGTGTATCTGCATTACGGTGGGCAAGCCAGAGAGGTGGAGACTTTCCACAGTTCACTGTTTGTGTCTTTCTTGTTATACAGCATGTGGTTTGGGAAAGCTGCAGAAGTGTTCACACTGTGTCAAGAGACGTTGGGGTTTGTGTGGTGGCCAAGGGGCTCTAGGAGGGCTGAATGTGGTGAAAACCAGGCCCCAGTATCTCAGAGCCCTCAGAGTCAGACACTTTGCGATCTAAGTCATCCGTTTGTCAAGGGGAACGAACCACAGGTTGTTGTGAAGGTTTCAGGAATTGTTTCTTGATCATTTAGCTGCAGTCCTTCAAGGAAAAACATAGGAGGAAACTTACTTGTTACTGAGTTTGAGCCTTTGTGTAAAGCAAAAGAGGCATGCAGTACTGATCAATATACTCATGGGGCAGAACCTGGAGGAGGCTGTGCTGTGAGAGTGCTGGGCAAAGGAGTGCACAGAGGCAAATTCGGGTTGAACTCGTGATGAGTAAGTTTAGCTCTCGTGGTTGTATTCCTGGATTTTACATCTTTCACATTCTTTGGAGGCATAGTTTGTGTGTGTGGTTGTATGTGCTGGAAGGAATATCTGGATGATGGTGCATGTGATGTGGGGAGCAGTGTGCCTGGTGCAGGGGAGCTGGGTTGTGCTTGGCCGCTGGAGGAAAGAGGAGACAGCAAAAAGCATCAAGCTCTGTCCCTACCTCAACACTGCTGGTCTTAACACTTGGTGCAGGGAGCCTGCATGCAACAGCTGCAGGATCTTCCTTCTGGCTTTGGAAAACATATTTTCTGCACTCATTGCAGATTCGTACTGCGAGACACTGCCTGTTGATGGCCCCCCCTCTTTCCGGGGACAGTCCGTGAAGTATGTGTACAAGCTGACCATTGGCTGCCAGCGTGTCAACTCGCCCATAAAGCTCCTGCGCGTGCCCTTCCGTGTCCTTGTGCTGCATGGTAAGGCCACACACTGCCTTCCCTGCACAGGCAGGCTGGGCTGCACCCTGCCCTGCTGATACACTCACCTTCTTCCCAGGGCTCAAGGATTACCAGTTCCCACAGGATGAGGCTGTTGCACCCTCAAACCCCTTCCTGGAGGAGGAGGAGGGCTTGAAGAAAGACTCTCGCCTGGCAGACGTAGCAACAGAACTGCTCATGGTGGCCACCTCCCGACGCAGCCTGCGTAGGTTATATTCCCTGCTCAAACCTGCTGTCCTTCCTAAGAAGCTGGGCATGGAGAACATCTCAAGGCCAGCTGCAAAATATCTCTCACTGACAAAGTGAAGCTCCAGCGGTGGCTGTGGAGCAGCTCTATCAGGGCCTGCTTGGGTCAGGGCCTCCTAGCCAGACTCAGACTGTTCCTACTTCAGACCAAGAGACCCTCTGCCCAGCACATGGCAGCCAGTGTAGGGTTTGCCCTTGCTCACTGTAGAAATTTCCCAGAGGGAATTCCACCTCTAGGGACTGTCCTTCACACTCAGACAGGAGGCATGAAGTCATGTCATTAACCCAGAGCACTGCACAGAGCAGAGCCTTGTGCTGCCGCAACCCTTACCCCTCTTCTTGCTCCACAGACCTGTATAACATCAGCAACACTCGTGGGAAGGTGGGCACGTTCTGCATCTTTAAGACTGTGTATAAGATTGGAGAGGATGTCATTGGCACCTTCAGCTTCTCAGAAGGAGATATCCCATGTCTGCAGGTTATTGCTGTCTCTGGAATTACTGGGGAGAGGCAGTGGTTTAGAATGAGGGATGTGGAGAAGGGATTGGGGTGGCACTGGGCTGTGAGGGTTTCTAGTGGGACCCAGCTGGGGTCTCCTTGGAGTGTGAGGTGGACAATGGTCCAGTCCTGAGCTCATTTGGGAAATGGACACCCCCAAGGCTTTGCATGAGATCTGTATGAGGTTGTGTGAGCAAGCACCCTGCCAATTGCCCTGCAGTTCTCAGTGAGCCTGCAGACAGAGGAGAGCATCCAGGAGGAATTCCAGCGCCGGCGGGGGCAGCCTGTCTCCTTCACCGTGCATGCCCGCCATCAGGAGTCCTGCCTGCACACGGCACAGAGCAGCTTCAGCCTACCCATCCCACTCAGCTCAACCCCAGGATTCACCACCAACATCGGTAAGTACCCACTAGGGAAGGGTCCCACCCTGCTTGTCTCTGCAGGAGGACTGTGATATTCCCAGCCTTGCCCTTGCTCAGCAGTGATGTGTCCCTTAGGAGGGAGCTGGCCTGTGTGAGTGGGGTCATTTGCTGTCACCTTGCCAGAACAGACTGTGCTGAGACAGCTGCTGTCTGTGGCTCTTATGGGTGTTACGTATTGACTGTTCTCTTGTCCATAGTGTCCCTGAAGTGGAGGCTGCACTTTGAGTTTGTGACTTCTGGGGAGTCAGCGGGGACTTGCTTGGTTCGTGGGAGCCAATCGGAGGCTGTCACCTGGACTGGGGTGGAGCAGATGGAAGTGGACACCTTCAGCTGGGACTTGCCCATCAAAGTTCTTCCCACCAACCCCATCCTGGCTTCCTATGTATCTCAGTTCTCCAGCACTAACTCCATCACTATCTAATGTAGGGAGAGGTTGTTGGCTTGCAGAGCTGCAAGCGTGTGCCACCAGTGGGAATGGCAGACAGGACTGTCACCTCTGTGCTGTGATGCTCACATCCCAGTGTCCCCTTGGATTTATCTGTGATGCACCGGTGGGCACCAGGCATGTCTGTCCTGTCCATGGGTGGAAAAAGACTGCTTGATGCAGTGTCTTGGGCTGCAGCCCCCAGCTGGAGCTGGACCCTTCCTGCCTGGGTGAAGGTGCAAGTCCCAGCACTCAGCAAAAAGGAATCTGCCTTCCCAGGGAACGGCTGATGTGCCTTTATCTCATGTGGGACTTCCAAGAAGGAAGGGCCCAGCGCAGGGAGGGGAGAGGGGAGCTCTTCCAGTGCTCCAGGGGAGCTCTTTGTATGACCCTTGGGTGAAGACTGTGCCCTTACAGAGACCCTACAAGCAGAGGTCTGGTATCCAGGTGAAACACAGTAGCCACCCGGGCTGGGTGAGACAGTGCTCTCCTGCCTTGGCATGTGTCCTGCCTTTTGGAGAGCTGTCCTACACATACAGTCCAGTGCCACAGCCACCCCTGCCTGGAGGAGGCAGGTCATGGCAGGCCAGCCCTGTGCTGGTGAGCAGGATGCAGGCCCGTGCTGTGTCAGTACCATCGCGATGGTCCAACACTGAACAGCACTGAGTCCCTGGGCTGTTGTCTGCCTGGGTTCCTGGTGTGAAAGCATCCTGCTGGTCTTTGGATCATTGAGTGTATAAGGAATGCATGCATCCAAGAGCATCTCCCTGCTCAACAGCCAGCTCCCCATTTTACTGAACTTTCCAATGATCTTTTCTTTTTGCGTGGAAATGTAATAAACATCTGAATGTGCAAAATTTGGCTTTCCCAAGAGCCTTATTTCTACATTGTTCCTGGTGCTGGACACATCCCACCTTCTACAGTAGTCACAGGCTGGAGACCTCTTTGTTCAGTATCTTTATTGCAAGAACAGAAACACCTACACAAGGCTCTGCACAACACAGGCATGGCACCAGCTGGGGCAGCTGCCAGGGTGGCTGCCTCCCCTCTGGCACTTGGTTTGCTTCTGCTTCCTGAATCCTCCCCATCCTGCTCCCTTGCCAGTGGTGATGAGGGTCTCCCCTGGGGACATCCCGTTCTGCCACACAGCTTGGGCTGGCTCTGTTACAGTGTTGCCCAGGGTTGGCCTATATTGCCAGGGACCCCAGGAGCTTTTGGAGCAGGGGCATTAGTGGTTCCAGAGGTGGGTTGTGCCCCTTGCACTCCGGGAGCAGAGAAGGGTCTGGACAGGGTGTGGGGATCCTGCACAAGCTGCTGTGGTGACCCCAGCGAGCTGCCCGCGGCTGCCTTGCTGAGGAGTACGGGTGTGGGAGGGAGTAGGGAGCTGCTTCGCTTGGGGTTGGATATCAGAATGCAGGACTGCCATGGAGCTGGCTGATTTAGTCCTGTAGCCTTTTTTAGTCACTAAAGATTTTCTGGCCACCTGGAGGAGATCCTGTAGAATCTGCGTTTCCATGGTGTACAGAACACCACAAGGAGGACACCCTGGTTCAGGAAGCTGAAGGCAGAAGCAAGGCTTTGTACCATGTGCGTGGATAGTGGTTTCCTTCGAAGGTGCCGGTGGTGATGCCTCTACAGGGTGGGTGGGGCAAATCTGGAGCATGCGGGCGGTGTGCTTTGGAGGGGAAAGGGAGGCGCCGGGGGGCGCGGCAAGCTGCCGAGCCTCTCTTTTATCTGCCCAGCCCCGCGCTCAGCACCTTGTTCATCAGCGGCTCGGGGGTGCTGGCTGAGCCCCACTCGTGCTCTACACTCTTCACACACGGCAGGCTGGGGTTGGCCTTCTGCACTACCGAAATCTGGCAGGTCTGTGAGTCGTAGTGGGCCTCGCACCAGTCAGGGAAGTCGATCGGGTGCTGGGTGCTGTGGGAAAGGAAACGGTGCCATCAGTACCTCTCATTAGTGCCAGAGAGCTGCTGACTGGGATGGATGGCTTTCTGCTGCCAGCCCCCTGCACAGGGTGTCTTCCAGCCCCCTGCTCAGGCAGGCTGAGACACGGCTCCTGGCCCATCTGGGTATCTTGCTGTGCCAAAATACCCTTTCCAACTGCCCCAGTTCACCCCACCACCCTCAATGCCCTGGTGGGGTCCTGCTTACCTCTGCCTGTTGCTCCCCAGGACCTGGTACCCCGTTGCCCTCCCAAGGCTCTGATATCAGCTGCATTTGCAGCCACCAGACACCCACTGCTGCAGATGCAGATGCAGATGCAGATGCAGCCCACCCCACCCCGGCCCCTCACTCACGTCTCACAGCAGCCCACGCCAATGGGGTGCAGGCAGGTGCAGAGCAGGCAGTTGGTGCTCAGCCATGATTCCCCAAGGGAGAACTGTTTCCCTTCGTACTCACAGGGAGCTGCAAAGGAAACAGTGGTAATGAGAACATATGGGTCTGTGCTGAGGACGACTGGAAGCCTCCTTGACAGTCCTGTGCCCCAAACAGGAGCAGAAGTATCATGATGACCACCTTGTGCTATGGAAGATATAGTCCCTGCCTACTAGTGGAAGATATATGGTGGTCTATGCACCATCCTGCAGGTATGGAATGCCCTGTCATCTCTCGTGGTGATGTACACATCTCATGGTATCATCTCATGGCGATGTACCCATCCATCCTCTCCTGGCCCTGTCTTGTGGCTCTCACCACTACCCCATGGGTCTAGAGCAAGAAGCAAATGGCTCCTGCTTCCCTGGAGAGGACAAATCCAGTGCCTCTTAGGGTCTGGGCATTTCTGCAGCCCTGGGAGGAGACAACAGGGGGATGATGAGCCGCCCTCCTCCTTTTGCTGCTAGACCTGCACACTTGGCCCCAGCCAGGCGCCTGCCAGGAGCCTTCATGGCCCGGAAAGCTGTTTCTCAGCCAGAGCCCTGGAGAGCTGTTCTGTGGTTTATAGACTGCTCCTTCCACTCACCACTGGCCCATGATCCCATTCCTGAACTCAGCACAGTCCCTTTCATACTTGTCAGTCTTAGGGAAGAGCCCTGCCATACTCAGAAAGCTGAGGCCTCCTCTTTCCATCTCACCTCCCCACTTACCTTTAGCCTGGAAGTAGCATTTGGCCTGGGAGCCTGGCAGCTGGAGAAGGAGGGAAAGAAGCAGGCAAAGCCTGCCCCAAGAACACCTCATCTTCTGTGCTTGCATGGCCATAGATGGTTGAGCTGGACTTGTTCGCTTTGCTTCTCTATTGCCTTTGCTCCTTTGCCTTCTCTTTCTCTCTCTCTGCCTTTTTAATGCTCTTCCCCTGATCCCAATGAGAGATATTTATAAAGTTCAGCTTTACGACCCTGGCCACCAGCTGTGCCCCACTGGAAAAGTTGTAAAACTCATTTCCTGATTTGAAAGGCATGAAAACAAGAGGTAGGATCAAGATTTTTAACAAGCTGTGAAAAGCTGATTCATGCCCTCCAGAAATTTCTCCAGTTGGAAGCCCCTGTGGGTGCAAGGCTCTACAGCAAGGGGAGATCCAAAGGTCCCCAGCAGCGTTGTCCTCTGCAGTGTAGTGCGCACATAAGCACCAAGCACAGGAGACCCTGGCTCCTGACCAGGAGAGCTCCAGGCTCCCCTCTGGTCATGCTGAGCCGTCACTGCTCCTTCACAGTGAGCCAAGGTTTTGGGAGCATCTCATCTCACAGTGACCAGAGCAGTACAAGCATTCTGCTAACAGTGTGGGATGCAAATGGCACCATCCTCATTTGGGGGTGGAGGTGCATGCACCCACTCCTGAGTACCACATCATGTCACTTTCACCCCAGTCTGGGCTGCAGCTGTGCCAGGTTCATAGCCATGCATGGGCAGGGGATGGGAACAGCAGGTTTAAAATCACAGAATCACAGAATATGCTAAGTTGGAAGGGGCCCATCAGGATCACCATGTCCAACTCCTAGCCCTGTGCAGGACACCCCAAGAATCCCAGCATGTGCATGATAGTGTTGTCCAAACACTTACTGAGCTCTGATATATTTGGTGCTGTGACCAGAGCAGACAGTATAGCAACTGCCTCTGATGCAGAACAGGAGAGAATGAACCAGGGCTCATCTGAGCAGTGCCCATGAAAGAGGACTGTGCCTGTGCACCTGGTGCACCCACAAGGTATTGGGGCTGAGCATCCTCTTCCAGAGGCTGCAGACTGGCCCCAGCAGAAACAGGAAACAGGAGGGATAAAATCGGAAGGCAAAAGTGCTTTTGGGCAACAGGTAACCTGAGAGGTAAACAAGGGACTTGGCTGGAAGCAAGGACGTGTGGGAATGTGCCACATCACTCAGGGTTGTGCCTGTGGACTTCACAGACCCTCACCCAGAGGGGCTGCTTCTGTATAGAATGAAAAGACTGTTACCAGCTGATGTGCAAGAGCGAGGAGGTCAGAGCCCTGGGAGCCACATGGCCCCGGAGAGCTACAAGCAAAGGGCTGACTTGCCAAAAGAAATTCACAGTCCTTGTCAGAGGTGCTGCCAGCAGCAGGAAACAGGGCTCTGGGGATGGTCCAGCCGGGGGCTCAGCCAGTGCAGGACCATGCCAGCAGTGAGGCAGCATCAGCAGCAGTGGCATATATGGGTCATCTGCCCCTGCAGATCCCTGTTTCTGAGAGTTTGGGACAAATTTACACCTTGACGCGTGAGGCTTAATATCCCTTCCAAAATTTGTATTGGCATTCACTGTTATAGCTAGATATTTTTCTTATCCCTGTAAGTGCCCAATCCCTCATTGAATCCTGCTAAATTTTGGCCTGAGCATTTTCCTGTGGCAGTCTAATTAAGCACAGAGTGAGAAAGAAAATGCTTCCTTTTATCCGCTTTATCCGCTTTGGATTCACCACCTTCGGATTTGAAGGCATAGTCCCTTCCTTTTGGTGCACTGGGCCCCTTTGCCATCCCATTGCATCCATCTCCCTCAGCTTGTGCTCTCACTGCTGAGGGAGAAACTCTGGCTTTGCATCCCTTCTTCCCCTTACAGAATTACCCCAGCCCTGTTGTAGTGCCATGGATGATGCTGTGTCCCTTGGTGGGGCTGCTGGATGGCAGTGAGTGTGGGACCTCTTAGGAAAGACTGATAACAAATCAGAGAAATGCTGGGAATGCCCTGCTGACTGCTGGCCATGAGCCGGGATGGTGGAGTGCATCAGTGACAAATGGAACTTGCCTTTTGGTGCTGAGTTGTTACTATATAAGGAGGATAAAAGCGCTCATCATCAGAGCAGTTAATTAATATTCCTATTGTGTGTTTGGAAAAAGAAGTCTGGCATGCTAGTAACTGCAATGAAATAATCCATCATTGTTTCATCAACAAGAACAGCAAATGTTAAAAAAAAGAAGTGGTGAGTTTCACTCAGAGGCCCACAGGATTTGGACAAGCTTCCAGAAGCGTGCTCAAAACCTGGGGCAAGAGCATCTCTTGGCTGTGGGGAAGGGCATTGCCCCTGCTCCATCAGGGACATGGAGAGGCATTCTCAGGATTTCTGTAGCCATTATGGTTCATTAAATAGAAGGGTAAAGCTATGAGTCCATTCATGGCCATTGGATTTTTCATCAAAGTGCTTTGCTGGGAAAATGCAGAGAAAAAGAGGAGTGTCAGGACACCTCCTGGCACATTGCAGAGGGACCAGGGCAGTGGAGCACTGTCCACACTATGACTTTGCATAAAGAAAGGTGGTTCCCCATAGCCTGTTGATACTGTTATTCCCCCTCCTGACAACTTTTCTTCCTCCACTTCTGCATTCCTGGGTACCCACCTGTCCCCAGCACACACAACCCCATGGGTGATCCAGAGCATTTGGTCCAGGTTGTACAGGAGGATGCTCATAATTTGGAAAGCAGTACTTGCAATTGGACTTGGTGCTTCAGAGCTTCTGCCTGGGCGCTTGAGGGTATTGTGGTAGGAGAAGCTGTGCCAGCCTGGAGGAGTTTTTGCTGCAGAGACTGAAAGAAAGCAGCTGCTTTTGGTCTCACATCTCAGGGAGCAACTGAGGTCCAGGGAAGAACCACAGAAAGGATAAAGGAGCTGGAAAAAGTGCCTCTCTAGAAGTTTAGTCACTTTGATTTGCCAGGCAGAACCCAACAGAAGGGATCACTGCCTGTCTATGTGTGTGCCAATGAGGAGCAGTCACCACCTTTGAGTATCCCAGGACCCTGGAGAAGGTCACATCCATGTCTCAGCATCCTCCCACCAGGACCCAGCTCTCCTGCCTGGCCTGGGCCTCATATTGTAGCTGTGACTGAGAAAAGCTGGGTGCTGCACCCCACCAAGGGCACAGTTTTGCTCACCTCCTCTCCCAGCAATCCCTCTGCTGAGCAGTGGAATGCTCATTGCCAAGGATGAGACCCCCATGGATGGTGGAGGAAGAGCACCCAAGTCAGTGGTACAGGGATGAGGTGACAACATCCCACCCCAGCGCTGCAGGAGGCTCAAGGGGTAATAAATCATGCTGGACAAGTTGCCATCAGCAGAATCCAGGAGAATTATAAAACCTGAATCTCCTGAGCCTTCAGCTGGCGTTGCAGCTGCAGAGCAGGAAGCAAACAGGATCCCGGCTGGCATTGTGAAAGCAAACACCATAAATCTGAGGAAGTGCTGTGATTGCTGTTTTAGGCACTGGGGAGCTTGGCTCCTGGGCCCCTAAGGTATTTTATTTTCTCTCTGAACCAAGAAACAAAACAAAACAAAAAACAAAACAAAACAAAAACCCAAACAAACAAGCAAACAAAAAATTCCACAACCCCAGTTTATCACTGGACCAAACTGCATTGGTGCTGCTGTGGACCCTGCAGCTGCCCTGGGATCTCTGGGATGTGGGCAACTTTCCTTACCCAGCACCTTGAGGATGCTTCAAGCACCAGAGTACCCAGGGCACCAGGGCAGGTTTAGGTACATGCCAGCTCTGAGTGATGATGATTCATGAATGCTCACTGCTCACTGCTCATTCGCATGGCCAGACCCTAGGGTCTGCTCACCTATCTCCACCTCTCCTCGCCTGGGGAGAAGTGAGCAGAGGGGTGAGGAAAAGATAGGCAGTCAGGCACTGGGTAGGGAAGACAAGCCAGGGAATGACAGCTGGCTCATGTCATCCTTCATCCCACAGCTGGCAAGCCAGATAGGGTAGCTCACAGATGCTGGAGTACAGCCCCACCAGCAATGAGACTGTTGCTCCAAAAAGTGGACAAAATAGAGGGGGTTTGAGAAAAAATTGATGCTACCTTCCTTTGCAGACTGGCTGACTGCTGGATAAAGCTCGATGCCAGTGGAGAAACATGAGCTGCAAGGCATGCTGGCATGCTTTGTGTCTTCCATGGGTGTCCCTGGCCTCAGCACCCACACCCTGACCCTCTTTGCAAGGAAGAGGTGCTCTGACCCTAGAGGCTAGGCACAGCATTTCACAGGGGCTCTACAACCATGGTTGGAGGCCTGTGTGGGTTCCCTGTCAAGGGACAGGACCTGCTGTCTGCAGGTCCCCAGTCATGGGCTGGGCTTTTATGTCCTGGGCAGTCCCATGCTGTGGCTCACTCAGGCTCTCATGCCCTCTTGCCCTGTCTCGCATAGTCTCATCCACACTTGCTCATGCCCATGTTCCATTCCTTTGAGACTTTCCCAAGTCATTTATTATAGCTGTGGCTGCTCTGGATTCTGCATCAGCCCAGGTTCTGGCATCAGTGGGGCAGCCATGCATTCTCACTACCCTCAGCCCTGGCAGGCTGTCGGCACCCACTGTGGCTCTGCAGGACCCTGGGTATCCCAGCATGGGTGTGCTGCAACCCATGTTTCTGCCTGGGCTCCCCTCAAAGAAACATGCCAGGAGGTCATGGGGTGTTTAGGAAAACAGGCCTTGGCATTTGCTGGCCATACCAGGAAAATAAAAACATCCGGGCAGGCAGCCTTACAGTGACTGCGAGAGGCCGGCACTCCATAAATCCCCTGGAGCAGGTGCTTTGTAGTCGGCACAAGGAAATGAGCATATTATTCGGCTTGGCTTAAACCCCAAAATGTTTCCTGTCCTGTGAGTCAGAAATAACCCTAGGAGATCATTCCCAGGCCACGCAGAAACTGCACCAGCCAAAAAATGCCAGGCACTTGTTGGCCTGAAGACTTGCCAGGGAGGTCAATGGTCCAGGTCTCTCGTCTTGGAGAATTTGCCGTGGCAGTGTCACACCACCAGCACT